CACACACACACACACACACACACACACACACACACACACACACACACACACACACACACACACACACACACACACACACACACACACACACACACACAGCTGCGGGTCAAGTTTACATCCCACAAGTGAACAACGACCTTGGGCAGACGTCCCGCGTGAGCGTCCACAGCAACTTCTGGCAGTCCTTCAAAGTGCACAGGTGTGGCGGTGCTTGACTGTGTGTGGGTTGCACTGCCGTTGTGTGTGGTTCCTGGTTCACTCATAGCACACCGCCGATGATGCGATTACCCTCTGTTTGTGTTCGACAACTTGTTAGGGATGGCCGTGTTGGGCGCGTGCTCCTGCGCCTGGGCGCACTGTATTACGGCTTCACAGCAACCGTGCGTGGAGATCCTGCGCTCGTGCCAACTCCTGCCTGCCTTGCATTTTGGATGAGAGCGCTGTTCATAATCTGCTTGCAAAGACTGTCAATGCACTGCGATCCTCACTGCACGCGATGCTGCATCATACACACACACGCACAGACACACACACACACACACTCGCACGCATGCACACTCGTTCATTTCCCCTTCTCATCCCGCACGCACATGTATTGATGCCATTAGGTGAAATTCCGGGAAGGAGAGGGTGGAACGGTGCTGGACACCGCTGAAGGTGTGTTCGATGGATCGATTGTGATGGCGGAATGATGGCTTGGCTTGAGGTGGATGTGCAGCGCACAATTCAGACTCGCGCATGTGCTTGTATTTGCTGTTGTTGTGTCACTTGCTGTCACTTGCTGTGCCTACCTACCTTGTTGTCATGCCTCGGAGGTAATATAACGGTGTTGCCATCGTCCCATCGCTGAACTCACCCGCCCCCCCCATCCCCAAACGCGCACATGCTCGCAGTGTACCTTGCGGGGTTGAATAACAACGATCCTGTCCCTCGCACCAGCTTCTACATGGCCACAAAGCCGCAAGTGTATGCTGGACGCACTTATTCTGTCAGCGTAAGTGGAAGTGCACATCGCACACGCGCTTGCATTTGACTACCCTTGTCTCTGTTTGTCAGCCTGCTGCACTTTCCTGATGGCGCTGAGCTCGCTTATCCGTTCAAGTAACCCGTGCACACAGGAACTCCACACCCCTATTCATATCACATCATCAGTGCGCAGTTCACCTTGCCTTCCCCTTTTCTCTCTTTTTCTCTTTCTGCTGTCTGACTGACTGTTTGTGCGTTTGTGTGTGTGTGTGTGTCTGTCTGTCTGTCTCTCTGTCGCACACGCGTACACACACACACTCTCTCTGTCTTTCTCTCTCTTTCGCACACACACACACACGTACACACATGCACACACACTCTCTGTCGCCCACACACGCACACGAACACTCCCTGTCTTTTTCTCGTACTGTTTTTGTTTCATTGAATGCCTACCAGATTGACTGCAGCGGGTACGGCTGTGGTGCCGTGTACTCAACCAGCAACCCATACACAGAGGTGAGTCGTTCTCTGTTTGCTGTGCTACCGTCGTGGTGTCTGGTGTGCGCCGAGTGCAAGTTGTCTCGCGTACATCTGCATCGCCAGCTCGTGATTGGCTCCACCCCAATCGTCACCACCACCACCACCACCACCACCACCATACCTGCCATCAGGGCATGATCAGGGAACGCTCTGGTCAAAGATATGACGACATCGACTTCCGCGTCGATTTCGGTAGTGCTCAACACCACATGCGCTCATGTGCACATGCTTGCAAGCATTGGAACGCGCGCGCGTGTGTTTGGGAATGTGTACATGTGTGCACAACAGGGCGAACATGGCCAATTGTTCCGACCTTCTCTCACACGCAACACAAAAACACACACAACACGCAACACACACACACGCGCACGCACACTTGCATTGCATAATTTGACACGCATTTATGCCACACACGCAACATCACCCATGCTACCTCGGTCCTGTGCAGTGTATGACTTCTGCTCCGACCCGCTGTACACGCCAACTGGGGGCTCGTGCACGTATCTCACCGTCTGCCCCGCAGGCCAATACGCAGCCACGCTCGCAACCACAACCACCGACAGGTGCACCTCGGCGCTGCTTTGGTGTCGTGATATCATGTGTCGTGATGTGATGTGTCGTAAAGTGGTGTGGCATGAGTGCAACCTGAAGTGGGCAACTGCACATGCGTGTGCTCCTGGGTATGTGCGACCACACCCCCTCTTCCCCTCCCCCCTGACGCCGTCACGCCACGTCGGGCGCATGTATCTGTGCAGGGTGTGCGGCCCGTGCGAGGACGGCACGTTTACGGATGCGCCAAACCAGGCCGAGTGCAGCACACCAACGCCGTGCACCGCATCCCAGTTCCAAACAGCAGAGCCAACCATCATATCAGGTTTGTGTTCAGTTGGGGGCTGAAAGTGGGCATTGTGAATGGTATACACACATGCACACACACGCTTCTACAACCACAGCACCACGTGCATCTACACACACACACACACACACACACACACACACTGTCACGCGCATGTGCGAGTGTTTCAGTCGTGCACCAGTGCTGACACACACACACACACCAACACGTTGACACGCATGCCGCTCATGTCTCGTGTTTTGGCCTCTTCACGCCTCTCCCTCCACGTGTGTGCCTTCATATGGCATCAGACCGCCAGTGTCAGGAAGCGAGCACGTGCGATCCAGACACAGAGTACAAGACGGCAAACCACACCGCGACCGAAGACACGGTGTGTGTGTTTGGGGGGGGGGAGTTGGTGATGGTGCAGGGGACGTGTTATGGTGGTGTGTGTTTGGGGTTGTGCGAGCTGTCAGCACGGAGTTGAAAACGGCACATCAATGGCAGAGCCACGCGATACAATGAAACAAATCACGCCTGTATTGATCTATCTAGCCAATCACGCACACACACACACACGCACACACACCCTCACATACACACACACACACACACACTCACGCCTGTCGTGTCGTTTGCACCGTCGTGTGCATGTGATCAGGCTTGCACGGCGCTGACGGTGTGCGGGTCCTCCCGCTACGAGACAGTGGCTGCCACGCCAACATCGGACCGCGTGTGCATTGACAAGACAACATGTGACCCACAGGTTTGTCAGCAGTACGATAGCGTGGGGGGGGGTTGCATTGATGTGAGCTGTTGCATTTGAGCGTGAATCGACTATATGGACACCCTTACACACACACACACACACACACACACACACACACACACACACACACACACACACACTCACACCTCTGCACCCATTGCATTGCATGTGGCGTGTGCAGTTTGCGTATGAGACGCATCCCGGCACGGCCACGACTGATCGCGAGTGCTCTCCCCTCACCATCTGCGCTATCGGCGAATACCAGGTGCGCACATACGCACATCCACGCGCGCGCATACACACACACACACACACACACACACACACACACACACACACACGCTCATCCACGCACACAACCATGCACTTTGTGAGTGCATGTTCTGTTCAATTGCAAGTGTTGGAGCCGTGGCGCTGTTGTGATGCCTTCGCGCTCAAACTGCTTGTGGTTTGCTTTGTGCCACACGCGCTGCTGCCGTCTTGTTCAGAGTGTGTCGCCAACAGCCACGACAGACCGCAACTGCAGCACCTGTCTTCCTGAAACATACAAGGTGGGTGGATGCCGATGCCTGTGCATGTGCATGCGTTGGTGGTTGTAGTTCTCTCCGTTTGTCTCTCTCTGTCTCTCTCCTTCTCTCTGTCTTCGTGTCTGTCTGTCTGTCTGTCTGCCTCATTCACTCACACATTCACACACACTATCTCTCCGTCTCCCTCCCTCACTCACTCACACACTCTCTGTCTCTCCCTCTCCCCTTCTATGCAAACCTCCTGCCATCTGCATCTTCTTCCTCGTCGCCATCACGCTCAACTCGTGTGTGCCTCTCGCCTGCAACGCCACCCCCCCCCCAAAAAAAAAAAAAAAACCTCTTCTCCGCCGCCATCCAAGACGGTGACGGGGCCCGCGTCGTGTGCGCCGTGCCTCCAGTGCGAGACTGACGAGTACGCATCTGTCGAGTGCACCCCGTCAACAGCGCGCGTGTGCGCCGACTGCTTTGGCGAATGCTCCGACGGTTTCCACGTCAACGTGAGATGCCCCGCTTATCATCGCGCCTGCATGGCGTGCGTGTGTGTGTGTATGTGTGCACATGTGTGTGCGAGTTTTGTGTGCACATGTGTGTGTGTGAGTTTTGTGTGCATGTCGCAGCTGTAGCCTCACCATGCCCCATTCATCCTCCACCCTGCCCTGTTCATCCCTCCCTCCCGTGCCCCTGCGTCGCCACAGGGAGAGTGCACGAGCAGCGGTACGCGCATCTGCGAGCCCTGCTTGACGGCCGACGACTGCGACACGGGCTACTTCCTTAGCGGAGACTGCGAACCGCCGAGTCTCCAGGTGCGTGGCCGTACATTGGTGAAACGTGCCGAGAATGCTCACGCTGATTACTGCTGCTGCCGTTGTCAATGAGCATCAACGCACTACGCGCATGAATGCGCCTCGCATGCGCACGCACACACACACACATACACACACACACACACACGCACGCACGCTTGCGTACTCATACATTCTTCCGCATGTGTGCGCGCACCAGGGCCCCGTGTGCAAAAAGTGCCACGAGTCGTGCGCTTCGTGTACCGATGACGCAGCCACATCCTGCCTCACGTGCATCCCCGGCTACGCCTACCACAACGGTCCGTGGCAGCTGCTGCCGAATGTGTTGGATGTGTTGTTGTTGTTGTTGTTGTTGTTGTTGTTGTTGTTGTTGTTGTTGTTGTTGTTGTTGTTGTTGTTGTTGTTGTTGTTGTTGTTGTTGTTGTTGTTGTTGTTGTTGTTGTTGCTGCTGCTGCTGCTGTGGGTTGTTGTGGGTTGTTGTGGGCTGTGCGTGGTTGCTTGTTGCCGATAGCGTGGTGCGCACCCGTCGCTGGCACGGCCCATACCTGCTCACTTCTTTGAAAATTGTGTGCATATGTGTGTGTGTGTGTGTGCAGATACAATGCGCTGCGTGTCAGATTGCGGTCCATCTCTCTTTGAAGGCGACGGCATGTGAGTGACGGCACCATGCACACTGCAGTGGCTTCGTGTTTGTTGTTGCTCACATCTCGCATACATGAGTGCAGAGCCAATCATCTTATATGCGTGCATCCCTCATTGTCACAAACAAGCACCCATGCGCACTTCACTCCCACTGATGCTTCTGCGCGCACATGCATGCGCATAACTCCATCCCGCCTCTCGCGACCACTGGAGCAGCTGCCGTGCCTGCAGCGGCGCGTGTGGCGATGACTGTGTTGGCGCTGGCGATGATGACTGCCGCACTTGCAACAACCCGGCGCACGGTTGGTGCACGCTGACACGCGTACATGGCTGGCGCGTGCTTGTGTGATTGTTTGTGTGTGTGTGTGTGTGTCGTTATGTGTGTGTGTGTTTGTGTGTGTTTGTGTGTGTGTGTGCGTGCATGTGTATTTGTGTGTAATTGTGAGTGCTTGCTCATGCAGACGTGTATGCATGTATTGTGCGCGCGTTTGTGCAAGGCCATTTACATCGGTATTCACCGTTGCGCGTTTCGCTCTTGGCGTCTTGTGCGATTGCAGGCGTGACAAATCTGCCAACGCAGGACCAAACGTGGCTGTTTGTGACGGACAAGGCAACCGCTGCCGGCCGCTGCGTCAGCAACTGCCCAGACGACCACTTCCTTGACGAGACAGCAGGTGCGAACATGCCCATGCGCTTTACTTACAGGCGCGTGATGCGCGTATGTAAGTGCATGCGTGTATCTGTGTGCGTGTGTGTGTTGCGCTCTTGTGTGATTGGTTGTTGTTTGGCTCCTCCCCTGTTCGCTCACACCATTTCCCGCTTGCGTTTGCGCGCATGTGTGCATTTGTTGTAGGAATGTGTCGTCCATGCAAAGTGTGCAAACCCGGCACGTTCATCAGTGCAAGCTGCACCGCTTTCGAGGTGCGCGTGAACTTGGAACCTCTCACTGATTCTTTTCTTCTCTTCATCGCGTTGTTTCAAGCAAACACATACACGCGCGCATACAGGCACGCATACAAGCACGCGCGCGCACGCATACACGCACAAGCAACCTGAAAACGCACATCCCCACACCCACCACACGTTCCCTCATTCGCGGGTCGTGTCGTTGTTGCAACAGGATGCGGAGTGTTCTCCCTGCACCCTCGACGTCACCTTCTCAGACATGAACAACACCCGCTCGTGCATCGCCGTGGTATGTGCTGCAATGGTTGTTGTGTGGCTCTCCCTTTACACGTGCGGCGTGTGCTGACGCGAGTCACCAGCTCACACCAACACTTGCGCCCAACACACAACGAACACGCACACACGCACACACACACACACGCACACACACGCACACACACACACACACACACACACACACACACACACACACACCACATACGCACACACGGTTCAGTCCCCGTGTGGGATCGGCGAGGAGACGGCCGCTGCGCCGACAACATCAAGCGACCGCGCGTGTGCTCCCTGCGAGGCTGAGACGTACCAGGACATGCCCGAGCAGGAGGAGTGCAAGCCTGTGAGCGTGTGTGCTCAGGGAGAAGAGTTTGTGTCGCAGGCAGCAACAACCTCAACAGATGTGCAGTGCTCGCCTATCACAGCGTGCAAGGCAGCCGAGGTGCGAAACGCTCATGCCTGTGTGTCTGTGCGTTTGTGCGTGTGTGTTTGCACGTGTGTGTCTGAGCGTGTGTGCGTGCGTGTGGGTGTGCGTGTATGGGTGTGCGTGTATGGGTGTGCGTGTATGTTTGCGTTGTTCTTTGACAGTGCTGTTCTAATTTCCTAGTTTGGCCTCGCTATCACTCTGCGTGCACGCGCACATTCCCATCATCACCTTCGCATGCACTCATCTACCATCGCTTACACAACACACACGCACACACACTCATACACATACACACACACTCAAACACATCGACACGCACGCACACACACACGCACGTCGCCCACAACAGTACCAGCAGCAGGCGCCGACATACACCTCTGACCGCGTGTGCGGACGCATCTCTGTGTGCGATCCCGGAACATACGAGCTCAAGCCCCCAACAGCGGTGTGTGTGTGTGTGTGTGTGTGTGTGTGTGTGTGTGTGTGTGTGTGTGTGTGTGTGTGTGTGTGTGTGTGTGTGTGTCGCTGATTGCGATGCCATGCATTCCTTGCTTTTGTATTGTTTGCGCGTGTGTGGTCATATGACGTCTCCTTGACTTCCTCTGTTTTCATGAACCATCTACCTTCCCACCCCCCCCCTCCTCCTCCTCCTCCTCCTCCTCCTCCGCCCCAGGTGTCGGATCGCGTGTGCGTGCCCTGCCCGGCAGACACATACCAGGACGGGCCAGGTGCCACGTCGTGCAAGGTGCGCTCACTCCGCGTTAACGCAGAAAGAGATGCTGTCTGTCTGCTTGGCCAACCTTGCACAGCTTTTGTTCATGCGCTTACACAGCACATAGCACACACACAACATGTGACCAAACATGCGCATTCACCCTCAACACACCATAATACTCCCCTCGTCACCTCCTGCCCCCTCACACATCCCCTCTTCATCACCACACATCACCACATGTGCAGCCTGTGCGCAGGTGCACTGCGTCCCAGTTCCAGCTGCGCAACTACACGGCAACAGCAGACCGCGTGTGTTCAGCCATCAGCACGTGCGGTGCCGGCGAGTGGGAGTTCTCCGTGCCAACAGCCACCTCCGACCGCGTGTGCACGGATGCCGTCCAGTACTGTGCCGTGTACCCGCCAAACACAGATCAGGAGTGCGTGCGTTGCAACCCTGGGTACCACCTGACCGCCGCGGACACGTGCACCGCTTGCTCCCCCGGGTTCACCTGCGATGGCCTCATCACCACGCCCTGCCCGCGCGGGCACTACCAGGACAAGAGCGCACAGACGACTTGCAAGCCGTGTCCCCCTGGCAGCATCACCAGCGGCGCGGGTCAGCCCGTGTGTGCGGCGTGTGTGGGCGCCACGTATCAGCCATTGCCGGGCAAGTCGTCATGCAACCCCATGCTGACTGGGCACTACGGCGTTCGCAACGAGACGTTTGCTTCGCTCTTCACCGCGTTTGACGTGGGCTACATTGCCCAGGAGCCGTGTGCTGCGGGCTCCGAGTGCGTTGATGGCGTGGATTTGCTGTGTGTGCCCGGCACGTACAGCACGGGCGGCGCGGCTGCGTGCAGCCCCTGCGGTCCAACGGGGTTCTCGCCCGTGTCCGGGTCCACCTCATGCTTCAACATCTCCGAGGGCTGGTACGGCGACGGCCCCTCTGCGAACGTGTTCAGCATGATCCAGCCATGCCACACGGGCCACTACTGTCGTGGCGGTGTGGAACACCCGTGCCCTCGCGGCACGTACCAGCCGCTGACAACCCAGGGCGCGTGCACGCCGTGTGGCGCAAACGCTTTCAACCCAAACACGGGCAGCGCTTCTGTGGCCGCGTGCCGTGCCATTGATGGAGGGTTTTACGGCACTGGTGAGGATGATGCGCATCCTGGTCAGATGCCGTGTCCTCCAGGTCACCAGTGTGTGGGCGGTGTTCGGTATGCGTGTGCTGCCGGCACGTACCAGCCGCTCGCAGCGAAGACGTCTTGTCTCCAGTGCGACGCGTCGTGTCAGCTGGGAGAAGTGGTTGACACCGCGCGTGTGTGCGACGCCGTGTCTGGCGTTGCCGCATGCATCGATGTGTCGCCACCAACCATCACCCTGCGTGGCAGCCCGTCCGTGCGGGTGCGGGTTGGGCAGACGTTCGATGACCCCGGTGCGACGTGCTTTGACACGCGCGACGGCACGCTCGCCTCAAACCGCACCACGCCGCTGCTAGCCGCTGTCGGCACATACACTCTGACATACATGTGCGTGGACGCTGCTGGCCTGGAGGCCGAGACGACGCGCAGTGTGACGGTCTATGACGATGTCCCACCGGTGGTGGTGCTGAGGGGTGGTGCCACCATCAAGATCATCCAATTCGATGACTACGTTGAGCCAGGCGCAAACGTGACAGACAACGCAGACCCCAACGTCAAGCTTGGTTCGTGTCTGCACACATACTTATGTTAACAAGCGCGTTTGTGTGCACATTTATGACAAGCGACAATTGTCTCTCCTCAGTCTTGTGTGGATGTGTGTGCGTGCGAGTGGACGCGCATGTGGGTACATGTGTGTATGAATTTGCTCTCTGTGTTGATTCGCCCGTGTCGCCATCATCACGGCTTTCCTTCCTTTCTCCTTCCACATCTCAACGCTATGCCATTTGAATGTTGTGTTGTGGAACCGCGCGTGCAGAGTCGTCTGGTGATGTGGATGCATCCACACCCGGCACGTACACCATCACCTTCCGCGCCGCAGATACATATGGGAACGAGGCCTCGCCCGTCGTTCGCACCGTCATTGTCCTCGACATTGATACTGAGACCACGGTACTCCTGCAGTGCCACAGCTGCACGTACTTGCTGTTGTGTTTGTGCGTGTGTGTGTGTGTGTATGTGCGTGTGTGCGTGTGCGTGTGCGTGTGTGTGTGTGTGTGTGCGCGCGCGTGTGTGTGTACATACCGTGTGCATGTGCGACTGACTAGTGCCGGGTTTGCTTGAGCAAGTGCTACGTAAAGCTTCCTCTGTCGCCACCACACTGCCAACCCTCAACACGTTGCCTCGTGCGTGTGTATTCGCAGGCGCAGCTGGCTGCAAACGACGCGTACAGCACGACGCTGAAGAGCACAGGGGACCGCTTGCTGGCCGAGCGCGCAGCACGACGCGCGTATCTCCAGAACAACGGCGGCCAGGACCTCGATGTCGTCGTCCAGGTTTGGCCGCAGTGGTCGTGGTGGTGGTGGTGTTGTGTGGCGAGGTGTGGTTGTTTTGGTGGTGGTGGCAGTGGTGGTAGTATGGTGTTGTTGTTGACGTGGTGGCGTGCACAGGTGGTGGTGGCTCGACGCATGTCTTGATCTGTCACGCCAAATACCAACAACCCCTCCCCCATCTGCACCACCATACCGACTCATGGTGCAGGCTGCTGAGAGCCACTACACGTCGCAGCAGAGCAGTTCGTCCGACAGCACGAGCGCGGCGTCCACGACGATTATCGCCATTGGCGCCGCGGCCGGCGTCGTCGTCATTGCCCTGATCGTCGTCATCTTCGTCATCCGCAGCAACAGGTGCACACACGCACACACACGCACACACACACACACATACTCCTCCGCATTGTTGTTGCCCCTGTGTGTGTGTGTGTGTGTGTGTGTGTGGCTTGTTTGATGACGATGATGCCACATGTTCTCATCCTCGTTGCGTTGGTCGTATGGACATGTGTGTGTGCGTGTGTGTGTGTGTGTGTGTGTGTGTGTGTGTGTGTGTGTGTGTGTGCGCGCGCGCGCGTGTGTGTGTGTGTGTGCAGCAAACACGCGCGTGTGACCAACATGTCCATGCCATATGCCAACCCTGCCTTTGATGCGGCCGGTGGCTACGACAACCGCACGGTACGAAACACATCGTCATGTGCAACGCGTTTGTGTCGTCTAAGTTGTGGTGTCGTCTTGCTTGTGTGTGTGTGTTATCGTCTTAGTTGTGGTGTCGACGTGCTTGCGGTGTTGGTGCGTGTTAACGTGTTGCCAAGGGTTGACCACGCATGCAGCTGCTGCAACCGCTTACACAACACGTTCTGTCCATTGCGCCTTTCCTCTGCTTTGTTCTGTGCAGATGATGGTCAACACGGCCGAGTTTATGAAGGTGCGGGCACGCTGGGTGTTCACACGTCCGTCCTTGTTGAGGCCGATGCGCGCACGTGATGCTTGTGGTGCTGGTGCCTGGCTCTCTGGTTGCGTTTTGAATTCACAGCTGATGCTTTGTATGTCTCTCGGTTACCCTCATTCTGTGTGCTGTGTTGTTCCATTTTCTGTGCGTGCGTGCGTTTGTGTGCTCTCTCAACGCAGCAACAGCGCGGTGCGCGTGCCATGCCGCCGCCACCAGACTACCAGCCGTCGTCCTCTGTCTACTATTCGTCCGTGAATGAACCCGTACGTTCATTGGTGTGATGGCCTCATACCATGCTCTTGCGCGTTTACTGCGGTGCTGGTGATGCGTGCGCAAGCAATTCTTTTCCTCACGCCTTTCCTGTTGCGTGTGGGTGTCAGGACAACACGTACGATTACGCCAATCCCGCGTTGAGCCGTGCTGCAGCGAGTGCAGGAGACACAGCCGTCTACGGGTTTGCCGACGACACAACTGGCAACACCAGCACCAAGGCCTCAAAGGGCCTGCCTTCCAAGTACGGTCGTGACACACATGCACACAAACGAATTGATTGCGATGATGGTCTTGCCTTCCTGTTCACACGCATGCGTCATCAATCCTCACACGCTGCTCACACTCCTGTATGTCCCACCTGTTCATGTCCTCTGCCCACGATACAGCGACGCATCCCGGGCGGACGAGGGCGAGCGCTACGAGGCGCCCGTCGCCTCCTTCAAGCGGTGTGTTGTGCGACCGTGGTCTTTGTGTGTCTGTGCGTGTGTGTGTCCGTGTGTGTTGTGTCCGTGTGTGCGTGTGTGTGCTGTGTGTTGTGTCCGTGTGTGTGTGTGCGTGTGCTGTGTGTTGTGTCCGTGTGTGTTGTGTGTCTGTGTGTCTGTGTGTCTGTGTGTGTGTGCTGTGTGTGTTGTGTGTTCTTTGTGTGTGTGTGCGTGTGTCCCTATACTTGCCTTTTCATCATTCTCACTCGGTCATTCACACCTGCTGGTTTGTTTCTTCCGCTAAGCAGAAAACAATCAGCGCTTCCACCCGTATGTACACCGCTTGCGTCCCAGCCCCTCCTGTGGTCTGCGGTGTTGGTAGATTTGGCTTCTGATGCACTTCACATGAACACATGCACCTACGCGGCCTCACCTCAACATCCTGCAATCCCAATTACACCCTCCCCAAAAACACAAACAACAACCAACAACAACAACGAAAACAATATCGCTTTTCCCAATCATGGCATCACCGCCACTGTGCAGAGCGTCGACGCTGACCCGAACCTGCAAGTGTACGGCGGGTCGGAGGCGCTCCCAGACATGGCCGTGTACGGGGAGGCAAACACAGACTCGCACGATGACGACGGTGATGACGACTACGCGGCTGTCACCGATCCTGATGTGACCGCGAAGGACACGGGGGTGGACCACGCGTACGACACCATTGAGCAGGAGGGACAGGCGCAGTCTGTGGCGACGATGCTGGCATCGACCGATGCGACTGACACCGTACCGGCTGCTGCTGTGGATATGGAGGATTACACGGACACTGTCACCAAGGAGGGTGACTACGATGTGGCCCTCATCTCACAGCAAGAGTGCGTCATGCATGTGTGTGTGTTTGTTAGTGTGTGCCTGTGTACGCGTGTATGTGTGCAAATGAATGCGTATGTAGTCGCTCGTGTGCGTGCGCACCTCCATGTGTATATTGTCTCTGTGTGTATTATGTGTGCGTATTATTTTATGTGTGGATGTTTGTTGGGCTTCCCTGCCACGGGGTGCGTTGTGTTGCACTCCCTTGGCATCGCTGACACTTTTTTGGTTTGTTTATGTGTCATCATTGGCAGGTACGGTCGCACGCAGCCACTGACGAAGGAAGTCCACGAGCAGGTGCGGCAACGCAACATACACGCGTGTACATGTGTGTGAACGTGTGTGTGTGCATGTGTGTGTGAACGAGTGCGTACATGTGTGTGCATATGTGTACGCTTTCGGCTGTGCATGTGATGCCAGCCTCCTCATTCAAATGTGCCCTGTCACGCGATTGTATGCGCGCTGCCATGCTGGGATTTCCAGGTGACGAAGACAATGAGCACGTGGTTCCAGCCGCGTCTCTCGCGTGACGAGGTGTGTGCATATGTATTGTGTGTATTTGTGTGTATGTGTTGTGTGTGTGTGTGTTGTGTGCCCTGGCGATGTATGTATTCTCTTCTTCGACATGCCATTTCGGCCCCCTCCCCGCACGCGCACACACACCCATGGCACAAGTTGCCTCTTGAACAAATCCTTCATGCAACAAAACAAATGCGCTTTACTTGTCGTTCGCGACCACTAGGCCCGTGCCCTTCTGTCCTCTCGACCGATTGGCACATTTGTTGTGCGCAAGAGCAGCCGCGCCGGCAGCTACGCCATCAGCGTCAAGGCAAAGGAGTAAGCAGCACACCTGCCTTTGTGTGTGTGTGTGTGTGTGTGTGTGTGTGTGTGTGTGTGTGTGTGTGTGTGTTGTTTGATTTGCTTTCGTTTCGTTTCGTGTGCTTGTTTTCGTTTGTTTTGTGTGGTTGTTTTGTGTGAAAGTCCACGTTTGTTTGGCTCACGTACTACGCTGTTGTGCTTGGGCCTGTGTGTTCTGCAGGAACAAGATTTGGAACGGCCTGATTGACCCGTGCGAGGAAGGATACACCTTCAACAACCGCTCCCGCGTGTTCTCCACCGTCGCAGACGTGGTCCGTACCTGCAACATGTGTGCGTATGTGTGTGTGTGTGTGTGCGTATGCGTGTGTGTATGTGTGTGTGTCCGTCTCTCGCTCTCACTCGCATTAAAGCATGTGCCCTCTCCACCCCCTCCCAAGAACCTGCGTCCACCACGCACGCACGCACGTTCACCTTCACCTTTCTCACACCAACGCACACCTTCACATGCACGCACATGCACACACACACCCCTCAGATTGTGTACTGTCACGACGAGGCAAAAGCCAAGAAGATGGGGCTTCCCCTTGGTCTTGTTCTCCCAGAAGGCGATTACGATTGCTGAATGACGTGGTGACAGGCGTCTTGTTTTGACGCCATCTCCACTCGGCACACCTCTCATGGTGCTGTCACTGTTGGCCCCGCGTGCCTACGCCTTTCTTTGCTTGCGTGGCTGTTTCTTTCGTGTTCGTTCAGCTTTCGCCATCAACCCGTTTCTGCGTTGACCTGGTTTGCTTTCTTGCGTTTGCGTTTCTTCCTTCTTGTTGCCTCTGGGTTCTTTTCTTTTCGTGATGGATGACAGCAATGCCGTGCTTTTCCCTCCTCCGGCTCCTCGTGATGGCATGTAATGCTTTCCTTTCCTTCGTTTGTGCTGCTCTTTCGTTCTTTCTTCCTTTTTCGTTTGCTCCTCTTTGACAGCTTTTTCGCTTCCTTGTTCGCGTTACATGACGAGCGTTTGACGGTTTCCTCTTGCGTCGGTCCTTCCGGCGATGCCAGTTCTAAACAAATCTCATCCGGTGCCCTGTTGTGATGGACTAGCGATGCAGATGGAGGGCAGCGTGGCGTGTTGTGTGGGGTTGTGTGGGGTGGTGACAGTGACAGTGACAGTGACAGACATGTGGCCCAAGAGCTTCCAGTCGCGCCACAATTTAGTTTTATTTTACATTAATTTGATTTCATGCAATTTTAACACAACTACGCCACTGAGTTTGCTTGCTTGCATGCACGCTTCGCGACCCCCCACAATCTTCGCCACCCATGTTGCACTGCGACAGAACTTAACAGCGACGACGCAAGCGATTGCCCAGCGCCAGTGCCAGTGACTGGCTTGCTTTTGCTTGCCCTGGTTGCGTTTGTGGATGCGTTTATGCTTGTGTTTGCCGACACTGCAACGCCCACCACCTCGCTTGCTCGTGCGCACGTGGATGGATGACCCAGCGCCGCCGCCCACCAACGTCATGAACAGTCAGAACGATACCCACGCCAGAAGGCAGGCAAAACCAGTGGCGGCGACAACACACACAACAAAGTGGAGCAAGCAAAGAAGCAAGCAAGAAGCAGGCAAGAGCCAAGCACACAAACGCAAGGACGTCGTCAAAATCAGCAGCTGCTGCACCACACCACCGAACGACAGACCAAACATAATCTGCTGTTCCGCCACCCACACGAGTTTCATTTTCCACCCTTCCACCACTCACTCCAACTGAGGAGTCTCTTGACGTGCACAGCACCTGCCCCAACAAAAGCAACCAGAGTTGTTCTAATTCCCAACAACAGCAGGCAACAACAACAACAACCAAAAGTTGCTTGTTGTTTGCAGCTAGCCCTTCGCCTTCAACTTAGCGTCTCATCTCGACCCCATCAAAAGGGTTCAAAGCACACTCGACAATGACAATCGTTCGCGTTCGCCGCGCGGCGATGGCAACCGCACTGGTGTGCGTTGCCCTCGCCATGGGTTGCATGGCTCCGCCACACATGGCGGCTGCTCGCCCCCTTCGCACCAAGATTCAGCCAAACGACAACAGTGACAACCACAACGCTGGCGCCCAAGACGCCGCAGCAGCATTGGCATCAGCAAGTGACGCGGGCCTGCCCTCGCTCAAGGACCTGGACGTGGACAGGATCAAGGCCCCATCGGCGATTGGCGCAGCAGGCCGCCCCCTGACCGTGCAGCGTGTCAAGGCGCCCTCGTCGCTCGCTGCTGAAGCGCCTGCGAACGGCAAGGCAAAGGTTGACCGCATCCACGGCCCCGACAGCGACACAGACAACAGCAGCAGCAGCAGCAATGGTAAGGCCCGGCGCTCCCTCGCTGTTGGCGCACCGCCCTCCAAGCTGAAGATGAACACGCTCAAGGACAACGCCCCAGCTGCATTCGCTGAGTTGAGCGAGCTCCCGCCTGCGGCAAAGAAGCGCGCCCAGGACAAGCTGGACAAGATGGACATCCCTGCTGTCGACGGCCGCACGCTGCACTTTGGTCCAGACGGCGAACCGTATGTCGCAGACGACTTTCCAGTGCCGCCCGTGTCGAGGGAACGCGTCGAGGAGGAACACGGGCGCGGCCGCCGCTTCCTCACAGAGAACCCACCATCATCTTACGACAACAACGGTATGTAAGTGTGGTGTTCTATAAGTGTGTGTGTTGAGATGTGCATGTATGTGTGTTGTGTGTGCGTTGTGTGTGCGTTGTGTGTGCGTTCTTGTGGATGTGCCACAGCCTCGTTCCTCTGTGTTGTGCCTTTGTGTGGTTAGTGCGCGTCTCATGTGATGTGAGCCAAAAGTCGGTCAGCTATCACAGCATTCTCACAAGCACACCCTTCCCTTTCATGAACCCCGCTTCCAACCCTGGCTGCAGGCCTGCCCATTTACCACAGCCGACCGGGTGCGCCCAACACCATGGTGCTCGACTTTGATGGCCACACCACCACCAGCAACAACTACTGGGGCGCCTTCTCTGCCCGTCCGTATGATCCATCCAACGACGGTACCGCGTTCTCGTCCTATGAACAGGGCCAGATTGCCCTCATTTGGCAGCGCATTGCCGAGGACTACGCTCCGTTCAACATCGACGTCACAACAGAGCCATTCGTCACCCAGGGGCCGACAGACATGCACGTGCTCATCACGCTGAGCGTGCAGACGACAGGCTACGCCATGCCACGTCATACTTCTGGCGGTGTGGCGGTTTTGAATGTGTTTGGCTCATCCATCTACGAGTATTATTCCCCAGCCCTCGGTACGTTGTGTGCGTTTGTGTGTGTGTGTGCATTGTGTTTGTGTGTGTTTGTGTGTGTTTGTGTGTGTGTTTGTGTGTCACCACGCCCGCGTTGTCGTGTGGTTGTTTGTTTGCGTGCTTCTGACCTTTGTATCCACATAATTTTACCACCGGCAGTGTACTACGACAACCTGGGTGATGGATACGCCCCCTACATCTCCGAGGCCGCATCACACGAAGCAGGTGCGGCACATCACACACACACACATCCCCAAACTTGCTTGTTCAGCACCTTGAGCACGTATCAGACGTACCCTTCTTGCACCCTCCTTCCCCAACACGTCCACATCATCGACTTTGCTGTTTTGAGTTACGTCGTCTAACACCAACAACCATCAAACAACCATCAAACAACCATCCCACACCACAGGTCACAACTTTGGGCTGAACCACGACGGGTACGGGAGCAGTTCCTACTATCGGGGCCTGGATGGAACCACAAGCGCAAACTCATGGGGTGAGCTTGTTTGCCGTGCATTCAATTCACGCGATGCGAAGGCACGAGAGGGTAATCTATGTGTGTGTGTGTGTGTGGGGGGGGGGGGTGGGGGTGGGGTGGGGTGGGGTGTGGGGTGGGGGTGAAAGTCGCACGGCACTGCTTCGTCGATTGCACTTGCTCGTGCTTGTGCTCGTGCTTGTGATTGTGGTGCTCACTACAATCTTACAATGCGTCTTTATGATATGTATTCCTTTGCACATCAGCACCCATCATGGGCATTGGATACGGAAAAGCCGTGACGCAGTTCAGCAACGGAGAGTATGCCGGCGCCACCAACACCCAGGACGACGTTTCGATCATCGGCGGGCAGACGGGCTTTGCCGCTGACGAGGCAGGAGACACCCCCGCCACAGCCACGAGCGTCACGTACACGGGCGGCAACGACTTCAAGGCGGACGGCGTGATTTCTGTGCGCACGGACAAGGATTGGTGGAAGGTGCAGCTGGCTGGGCAGGGCAGCATCAGCGTGTACGCGACACCGTGGTACTCAAGCACGGACACGCCGGGGAACAACCTGGACATCAAGCTGACGGTGTATGACAGCAACGGCACACCAATTGCGGTGAGCAGCCCAAGCGGCAGCACGGACGCATCTGTGTCGCTGGCGTCGCTGGCGGCGGGGTCCTACTACATTGAGATTGACGGCGTGGGCGACCCAGCGGTGCTCGCAACCGACTATGGCTCACTCGGACAGTACCGCATCACGGGGTCAGTCGTCGCGGACGGCACAACCACAACGAGCACGACAACAACCACGACAACTACGACGACAACTACGACGACAACGAGCACGACAACAACGACGACGACAACGAGCACGACAACAACAACAAGCACGACAACAACAACGAGCACGACAACAACAAGCACGACAACAACAACGAGCACGACAACAACCACAAGCACGACGACAACGAGCACGACAACAACAACGAGCACGACAACAACCACAAGCACGACGACAACGAGCACGACAACAACAACAAGCACGACGACAACGAGCACGACAACAACCACAAGCACGACAACGTCGACGACAACCACAAGCACGACAACAAGCACAAGCACGACAACAAGCACAAGCACGACAACGTCAACCACAACAACTACGACGACTACAACAACCACGACGACAACGACGACAACGGCCTGTGTGAATGACGGCCTTGAGAGCAACAACGCATACACAACAGCCACTGTCCTGTCCACAAGCGACGTGGCTTTGAACGCGGTGATCTGCGGTGGTGATGTGGACTGGTACCGCGTGCCGGTGTGCGGCGGCGGTACCGTGTCGATCACAGTTGGGTTCAGCCAAGCTGTGAGTGACCTTGACGCCGTCCTGTACACGCAAGCAGGAGCTGGTGTGTCGACTGGATACTCGACCTCGGACAACGAGGAGCTGTCCCACACAGACACGACTGGGTATGACACGCTGTACTACCTTGTTGTGTACAGCTACAACGATCAGAGCACGGCGTACGACATCTCCATCTCCGTGGATTGCCCCACCACCACCACAACTACAACGACCACGACAACCACGACGACAACCACCACAACTGCCTGTGTGAACGATGGCCTTGAGAGCAACAACGCATACACAGCAGCCACTGTCCTGTCCACAAGCGACGTGGCTTTGAACGCGGTGATCTGCGGTGGTGATGTGGACTGGTACCGCGTGCCGGTGTGCGGCGGCGGTACCGTGTCGATCACAGTTGGGTTCAGCCAAGCTGCGAGCGACCTTGACGCCGTCCTGTACACGCAAGCAGGAGCTGGTGTGTCGACTGGATACTCGACCTCGGACAACGAGGAGCTGTCCCACACAGACACGACTGGGTATGACACGCTGTACTACCTTGTTGTGTACAGCTACAACGATCAGAGCACGGCGTACGACATCTCCATCTCCGTGGATTGCCCCACCACCACCACAACTACGACGACTACAACAGCCACGACGACAACCACCACAACGGCCTGTGTGAATGACGGCCTTGAGAGCAACAACGCATACACAACAGCCACTGTTCTGTCTGCGAATGACGTGGCAGTGAACGCGGTGATCTGTGATAGTGATGTGGACTGGTACCGCGTGCCGGTGTGCGGCGGCGGTACCGTGTCGATCACAGTTGGATTCAGCCAAGCTGTGAGTGACCTTGACGCCGTCCTGTACACGCAAGCAGGAGCTGGTGTGTCGACTGGATACTCGACCTCGGACAACGAGGAGCTGTCCCACACAGACACGACTGGGTATGACACGCTGTACTACCTTGTTGTGTACAGCTACAACGATCAGAGCACGGCGTACGACATCTCCATCTCCGTGGATTGCCCCACCACCACCACAACTACGACCACGACACCAGCTGCTGGCGATTTCCCTTCGCTGTCATGCCCTGCCAACGATGGGTATGAGCCCAATGACAACCGCCGCAACTTGCAGCGCACTTTCAGCCCCGGCACATACTACGGTGTCTTGTGCAACGGCGAGCTTGACTGGTTCAAGGTGCGTGCTTGCAGGCACGGCGTCATTCGCGCGCACGTCGACCTGGACCCGGCCACGGCCAATTCAGTCAACGTGGGCATTCACCGAAACAACGGCCGCCCGCTTGGCCTGCAGAGGCTGCGGGATGGTGATTTGGAGACTGACGTCGCCGTGTATGCCCCGTACGATGGCGAGTACTTGGTGAAGGTTGCCGGCTTTGTTCGCAGGTCTGCTCCAATTTACCGTGTCATCATCGAAGTTGTCGGGTGCAGCTGAGACATTGTTTGAGTGTTGGTTGTGTTACATTAAAGTTTACATTACTCAATTGTTAAAACGACGGCCGCAAGGTTGGAAGGGAATGGGAGTGTGGCTGCTCACGTTAGTCTGCCTGTTGTGTTGTGGGAGAGTTGTTTGTCTGTGCGTCGTGTCTGTTTGTGTTTGTTCTTTCTCTTTATCTAGTTATCTCCATGTGTTCTCCAGGACTTGCTCCTTCCCTGTATCTCTCCAGCTCTGTTCTTGGCTTGCTTACGTGCTGAAATACACGCGCTTCTGTCAGTTTTTCAGCTTGCTTGTCAGCTTGCTTGTCAACTTGCCCGCTTGTTGGTGGTAGGGCTAGCTGGCTAGGGTTCTCTGAAGCTGAAGTGAGACACTTCGCTTCGTGCAAAAGGCAGTGTACCAGGTGTACGACCTGTACACGAGACAAAAGGAAACGCGATGCACACAGCATCTTGCCTTGCAGAAAAGCAATGGAACATTTCAAACACTTTTCTGTGCCGGGAAATTTCAAACTCGAGGGACGAGGATGGAGTGTCGTGCAGTGGTCGTGTTTTTGGACAAGCGAGGGCGGCAGAAGCGCAAGCTCTCGAGCACCAAGCAGGCCTTGCTGGACTTTGGAATGGATGAGGCAAAGATCCCAAGCATCATCATTCGCTATGAACATGTGCGTGTATGCGTGTATGCGTGTGTGCGTGTGTGCGTGTGTGCGTGTGTGCGTGCGTGTGTGCGTGTATGCGTGTGTTTGTGTGTTTGTGTGTTTGTGTGTGCGTGTGCTTGTGCTTGTGCTTGTGCGTGTGCGTGTGTGCGTGTGTGCGTGTATGCGTGTGTTTGTGTGTTTGTGTGTTTGTGTGTGCGTGTGTTTGTGTGTGCGTGTGTGCGTGTGTGTGTGCGTGTGTGCGTGTGTGCGTGCTGCTTGTTGTGTTGATGTTTGCCTTGGCAAGTCACGGGGCTAAAGTGAGTGTGGACACACGTGCACGCGACCCCATGCCCTTCTCACCTACGGTGCGGATCGGTGTGCTCGTTTTTGGCAGATGGAACAGGTGCTTACGATGCAAGGGCATGTGTCGCTGTTCGGCCCCGAAATCTCTGCTGGGAAAGCTACCATATCACTAAAGGAACAAGGAGTTCATGTGAACATCTCCAAGGCCGATCCAACACAACTGCGTCTCAGGCTTACGGCCCTAATGAAGCAGGTGTGGGGTTGGCCCCTGACACCACATCACATCGTCTCAGGCGACGACGAACACCACAGGCGGACGACAGCCCACACCCACACACACATACACACACACACACATACACACACACACGCACAGAGTATGCTTGTTGCTATGACTCACGTCGGTTGTCGTTGGCGTTGGGGCGTGTGTGATCATAGTTGCGGACATCTGTTGATCGACGGAAGCTCAACCAGGATGAAGAGCAGCCAACGAGCCTTCGCCTGGACCCTCGTATTCGTCGGCCTCTTGGTGCCATTCAGCTCAACCAACTCGAACCAAGGTGTGCATGTGTGCGTGTGTGTATGTGTAGGGGTGTGTGGGCGTGGACGTGTGTGTGTGCGTGTGTGCGAGTCTGAGTGTATGTGAGCATGTGCGTGTGTGCGAGTCTGAGTGTATGTGAGCATGTGCGTGCGAGTGTGTGTGTAGATGTACAGCCATTGGATGGACCACTACTATCACCACCGACACTAGCCGATACCAGCACCCTTGTTTCCACCACTAAATTGAGGTGGTTCAAACAACACTGTGTCTCATGTGCAATGTGTTGCCATCATGCCATGAGGGTAGCTCTCCGCCCAGGAAATCATGCAAGGTGCAGAGCCAAGCAGGAGGAAATCTAAAGCGGCCGTCCCGGGCACTGCGAGCCGTGGCCGAAGGCGGTGTTGTTGGCAATCCCGCCATTGACGCATCACTCACCCCAGAGCAGAAAGGTAATGGTTGGATCTGGCCGATGTATGGATTCCTCAGTTTCACACCACCCTCACTCTGGTCATGTACATCATCAAATCGGTACGCGTGCGTGCATGTGTATGTGTGCGTGTAAGCCTGTTTGTCAGTGATAGTGATATGTGTTCCCTTGCCGAGTTTTCACCATGCATACTGCAATTGATTATGTCGCGTCATGCAGATGTGTTGATGGCAGTTTTGTCGGGACGAAACGTGTTCTTCACAGGCAGCGCTGGCACAGGTGACATAACTCAACAGATCCCACATCATTGTGACTGCTTGCCATGGTTGTTTTGGTCGAGGTGAGGCGTGCAGTTACAGTTATGTACATGTGTATGTGTATGTGTGTGCGTGTGTGCATTCGGCTGTAGCAGTGGGCTGATGTATGTGTGTATGCGCGATGAATGCGTGCATCTGCTTGCTGTGCATCCCATCTGTGCACAGGCAAGTCTTACTTGATTGGCAAGATTATTGAGGCCTTGCCAAAGGCGACAACGGTTGTGACAGCAAGCACGGGCGTGGCTGCATGCGCAATCGGAGGCACGACGCTGCACGCCTTTGCTGGCGTTCAGGTGCGATATGTGTGAACGACGTGGATGTCACTTTGCATTTGAGCCGTCAACATTGCTGTGACATGCGCCCGGTGTTAGGTTTGTTACAGCTAGTGCAATCTCATTTGGCTCGTTGCACACTGTGGTGTGTGTGTGTGTGTGTGTGTGTGTGTGTGTGTGTGTGTGTGTGTGTGTGTGTGTGTGTGTGTGTGTGTGTGTGTGTGTGTTGCTTTGTTCAGGCGGGCTCGTCGCGGCTGCCGGTGAACACATCGGCGTGGACGACCGCCAAAGTTCTGTTGATTGATGAGGTGTCCATGATCGACGCGCCTTACTTTGACCAAGTACGCACAGGCGCTGTGGGGGAGCTGGTTGCGAGCCCTGTTGTCGATATCAGCACGCAATGGGGCGGAGTGCGCGTGCTAACGTGCGTGTCAAGAGTTCCTGCGCTGTGTGCAGGTACCATGCCGCTCTGCTAACATGCCAAGTTGTGATGTTATGATGTGCACCATCAGCTGGAGCAGACAGCACGGCGTGTGCGGCGGTGCAACAAGCCCTTTGGTGGACTGCAGCTCGTGCTTGTGGGCGATTTCCTGCAGCTTCCTCCTGTCACCAAACGCGGCGAGGAGACACAGTTCTGCTTTCAGGCCAAGTCGTGGGATGCGTGTGTGCACGAATGCTTTCATCTCTCGCAGGTGGGTTGATGGGTGTTGTCCTGAATGCTGCGTTGTGTGCTGCATGTATGTATGTGGTGATGCGAATGAGTGTGCGCATTCGAATGTGCGTGTGCGTGTGTTTATGGAAACAACTTCGACCATGTGCATTGGAATGTGTGCATGTGTTGGGGTGTGTTCGTTGTTGGATTACGCCGTGCAAGCAAAGTGCGTATGATATGTGCAGCGAATGCGTCGCGGCTCAACCTTGTGACGACATATGGCTTGCATTTGACAATCACTTGCCTTTGTGTTTGATGTGCAGGTTCATCGACAACGTGACCGCACGTTTGTGGACATTCTTCACCGCTGCCGTCTTGGCCAGTGCACACCATCTGACATCACGTACATTCAGCGCTCGGCCACGCACAGGCTGGATTCCAGCCACATTCGCGCAACACGGCTGTGCACCCACGTCAAGGAGGCAAAGGTGTGGCAATTCTGATGCGTGTGGCTTTTGTGTATGTGCATGTGTTTGTATGAGGTTGGGGGGTGTACGTACTTGGACGTGTTTGTACGTGTTTGTACGTGCTTGTTTGTGTGTTCGAGTGCGTGTGTGTGTGTGTGCAAGCACGAGTTGGCGTATTGGCTGTTACATGTGCACTGATGCTCACTACGATTTTACACTCGACGCAACCCTGTTACCTCTCCCACTGCCTGTTACCTCTCCCACTACAGCAAATCAATGAACAGCAGCTGTCCAAACTGTCTGGATCTTCAAAGCTGTTCACCCGATCAGACGCCTCACCTGGTTGGTATTCTTCGGTGGTACAGGGTGTGTGTGTGTGTGTGTGTGACAAGGAGTTTAGTGCCTTGAGTCTTGCACAAACAGGAGAGAGGATTCACGCTTGCACCCAGCCCTTGTGAACGGCTCTTCGTTTGTATGACGCACCGTCAGAGCGCGCGCACGCACGCATACACGTATGCACACATGCATGCACACACGAATGCGCGCACACACACATGTACTCACGCATGTACGCCACTTCATCGCGTTTCGTACCATCACGGTGTTGTTTCGCGCCATGTGCTTTTATGCCGTTCATTGCCGCGTAGACGTGAGCCGGTCGTCGCTCGCGTCACGAGTAGAGAAGGTGTTGGAACTGAAAGTTGGCGCTCAGGTCGGTAGAACACGTGTGTGTATGTATGCGTGTGAGTGTGTGTGTGTGAGTGTTTCTGTGTGTGTGAGTGTGAGTGTGTGTGTGTGTGTATTGTGCACTCTGTGAACAGCAGAAGCGAAAGCAAGATGCAGGACGCTCGGCTGATGGTGTATCGAGTCGGGCTACGCCCAAGACATTCGATGTGCATGATTTGATCGCACCTCGACAGGTCAAAGATGGTTTCGCCCCTCACCATTGCGCTCTTGTGGTTGTGTGTCAACGGCTGCAGGTGATGCTGTCTGCGAATGTGAATGTGTCTGCCGGTCTGGCCAATGGATCACGCGGTGTTGTCGTGAAATTCGACGCTGTTGGCTGGCCCGTCGTGGAGGTCAGTGTGATTGTGGGCGAACGTGTGTGCATACAACTCTGTGTGTCTTGTGTATAGTTGTGTGTCGCTGTATGCAGCTGTGTTTGTGCATATGCCGGTATCTGTGTGTGTGTGTCTGTGCATGCATGGAAGGATGCGTGTCAACTAAAGATTTTCTGTGTGTGTGTGTGTGTTCAAATGCACGTACGCGCGAGCGAGTACTTTGACTCCCGTAATTCACACCTGTGTTGCATCACGGCGATGGTGTCGTTGCGGTTAGTTTGCTAATGGACGCGAGGAGACGGTGCGAATGCACACGTGGCGAATCCGTACAGCAGCAGGACGCGTGATGGAGTGCAAACAGGTGCCGCTGCGCCTCGCCTGGGCCGTCTCCATCCACAAGTCACAAGGTGAACACGTGTGTGCGTGCATGTGTGTGCATGCGTGCGTGTGTGTGTGTGTGTGTGCGTGCGTGCGTGCGTCGTGGTGGTGATGATGATGATGGCGGTGGTGGTGATGATGTTGATGATGATGATGATGATGATGATGATTGTTCCGTTGGCACTGGTAAGGTTGCGATATGTGTGAAGACGCTGAACGCGCGTGCCATGCGAAACGAAATGGCTCACATGCACGCTTGCTTGTATCATACCGTCTGCCATCATTGTCACAGGAATGACACTCGATGCGTTGGAAGTTGACTTGAGCCGTGTGTTTGAGTGGGGGCAGGCGTATGTTGCACTTTCGCGTGCGCGCACGTACGAAGGTCTGTGCGTGAAGCGATTCAGTGCAAAGTCCATACGCGCGCATCCACGTGTGCTCGCATTCTACCGCAGCAAGTTCAACCTCTGTTGACGGAGTGCGCTGTGTTGTGTTGTGTTGTGTTGTGTGTGCATGTGTGGTTGTGTGGTCGCGGGTATGTGTGTTTGTGTGCGTGTTGTGTTTGATGCTGTTGTGTGTCTGATGCTGCGGCTGAAGTCATCGAGAAGCAAGTGTGGGGATTTATCATCAACGAATGGGGCCTCCTTGTTGCGTTATTTACATTCGATTTAATGTTCTTTGTTTTGCATATTTGATGGTGGGGCATTTCATGGCGATGGTGCAATGGCAGCAGCGCACAAGCAGGGGGGGGGGGGTAACAGCAGCACATGTACGTACATGAAGCATAAACAACAGGCACTTTCACAAGCACAGACAAACGAGACCAGAGGGGTTCCAGCAGCACAGCGCAGTCCACAGACAAGCAGGCACAAACGAGAGAGTGTGTGGTTGCGTGTATGCGCGCGTGTATGTGTGCAATGCGAGCGCTTCTGGGCTGATGATGGCGGTCACGCCTTGCTCATCTTCTCGTCCAAGAGCTCGTCCAGAATCTGCTGCTGCTCCTCCTCCGACAAGTCCTCCGCGATGTCAAGCATCTCCTCTGCGCGAGTGAGTGAGCGAGTGAGTGAGCGAGTGAGTGTGTCAGTGAGTGAGTGAGTTAGCGAGTGAGTGTGTGCGAGTGAGTGGCGTTGGCATGACAGTAGCTGCCCATCTCGTGTTGTGATTCAGAGTGCAAGTTCACATGAGCATGTGGCCGTGCCGTACCGATTGCTTCTTCGAGAATGTCATCCGGAACGCCGTCGTAAGAGCTGTAAAGGCGCAAACGCAACAGTTTCACACGCGCTTGTCAGCTTGCGAGCAGACACAGCATCGCAGAGCTTCGCAAGAGTAGCAGCTTGCCAAACATCAATCACACCGACGTCGTGACACAAATGGATAAACGAACGAACGAACAAACAAACAAAAGCAGCATTCATCCAACCCGAACACCCAAACAAACAAACCCACTCACTCAATCCATGACATCTGCTCCCCGAAACGTGGCTGCTGCTGCTGCTGCTGCTGCTGCTGTGGTGGTGGTGCTAGCTGCACCGGCGGCCCCGACGGAACATACTCGGGCGCACTCGCAGAGAGAACAGGCACCAGCGGTGTCGTGCTTGTCGTCACTGGAGCAGTGGTTGTAGTGGTTGTGGCGGGAGTGGTGGTGGTGGCAGGTGGGGGTGTGGTGTCTGCCTTCGTGGACGCTGGTGGCTGTTGCTCTTCCTTGGCGGGCGCGTCGGGCTTTGCGTCGCCTGGCGACTCCAGTTTGCCCTTGGAGACACAACAACGAGGGAGAAGATGAATTGTGTATGTGGCGTGCGTGTGCGTGCGTGAGTAGGAGTGAGTGAGTGAGTGAGTGTGTGTGTGTGTGTGTGTGTGTGTGTGTGTGTGTGTGTGTGTGTGTGTGTGTGTGAGTGTGTGTGGTATCAGCAGGAGCATGATGAAGAGGAGTGGGAGTGGTGACAATTGTGTTGGGGGTTTGGCATACACGGGAGGATGGCGAAGCATGCAAGTGTAGCGCTCGCGCATTCACACCGCATCAACAACCACGCATGCATGTGTTTGTGTGAGTGAGAGTTCATGTCACTTACGGCGAGGATTTGCTTCTTGAGCTCGAGCACATCACTGCCTTCCTCAAAGTCGAAATCGGCCTCGCTGCAAGTGCGGGGATTGGACAGTAGGTGTGTGTGTGTGTGTGTGTGTGTTTTGGGGAAGGGGGAACGGGTGAGATGGGCAGAAGTCACAGGCGAACACATGGGCATTTTCACACACAGGAACAGAGCACACACGCGCACACACACACACAGACAGACACACACACATACAGATATGAACGAACTTGATGAGAGCTGGCAGCTGCTGCAGTTGCTTCTTGTCCTCGTCTGCAAGGGACGCGTTGATGAGGACGTACATGAGGGCTTCACACGCCGTCGTCGGGTTGTCGGGGTACTGGTGGGTCGTGGGTTGCGCAGAAAAGTCATGAGTTGCACATAAAGGGGTGTGGTGCTTCTCGTGTCAACAAGGATAAGAAGACAGAGGCAGAGACACAGAGAGACGGACAGTGATAGGATGACAGGCACTCAGATGGAGGGTCACAGAGATAGTCACAACACACACACACACACAGTCACAAAACACACACACACACAGACACACAGACACACAGACACACACAAAACGCACGCACGCATCGTCACGTAAGGGAGCTTAGAGCTCGCAGGTGCAAAACAATGCCAGTCAAGCACCAGGCCCCTTGTTGCTACGTGCTGTGCACCCACCTTGCTCTTCATCATCTCCGTCAGGACGTGTGTCAGTGTATCCTTCGCCGGTGCATTCACCGTGGTGCCATCCTACAACACAGTAAAATCAAGTGAGCAGACACATGGATGTTAAGAAAGCAAACACAGAGCGGTATCATTTCGTCGACACATTCACGACACACAATAAAAAAAGCGTGAAAGTGTGCACACGTACACACACACACACACACACACACACACACACACACACACACACACACACAAACACACGCACACACACACACGCACACACACACACGCACACACAAGCACACAAACACACGTGCAAACACAAACACACACACACACGTACAAACACAAACAAGCACACAAACACACACACATACATACATACGCACCGACACAACGAGGCGAGCGAGAATGTTGGCGACTTGGTGCCAGTAGTCCTCTCGCTTCTGAAACACCTGTAACAGACGCAAAACGGACACACGGATAAGCGTGTGACGAATTGTGAGGGACGGCATGTGTCCTCGGGTTCATAGGCATGACAAACACGGTTCCTGCTGGTTGTTGTTTGCTTGTTTGCTTGCTTGCACACATGTTCATCTGCGGGAGCCGCTCAAGAGCAACGCACAGCTTGCAGTCGATGCAAGAGCGCCTTCCAGAAGACTTCGCTCTTCGACTGGTGAAACAGCTCCAGCGCAAGATCGCCAATGATCGCAGAGGGGATGCCGTCCACCAACGTGGCGTCCAGAATCTTGCTGATCACAATCTACAACCAACAAAGCGTGAATGCCTGGGGTGAGTGCGGTGGTGGTGGTGGTAGTGGTGCTAAGTGTCGAGGCACGCGACGCATGCAACGTCCGCGCGGCCATGCATGTCCACTGTTTACAGCGCACCTTGATATGCTGTGGGTTTCCCATTTCGATTTCCTTGAGGATGTTCTGTGCAACTTCCTTTTGAAACCCTGCTTGGACGCCGTTGATGACTGCGCCCAGCATGCCTCGCAGTTTCCCCATGGCATCGTCCTTTGGTGCACTCATATCGTCGTAGGTTGTGTGGTGGGTGTTGTGGGAGTTGTTGTGTCTGTCTCCTGTGGTTGCTTCGTTCTTCTGTGTTGTCGTCTGAGTGGTAAATGGTGGTTGCCTTTGCTTTTTTTTGTTTGGATTTTGGTGTGTGTCAGAAATGCTCAGTAGAATATTCATTGAAGAATTTGTGTAATTTTCAACACACCACACTGGCTTGGTGCGTAACCGTTGTTGCTTTTGACGAGGAAGACGACACACAATACGCTGCATACACAAACACAGACACACAGACACACATCGACACAATACACACACACTGCACATTGACACACACACAAACACACACACTGCACACACACACAGCACACTGCACACACACAGATACACTGCATAGGTAGACTCCCTCCCCAACCCGTTAGAGTGCGTCCCTGTCTTTGGTGGCGGGAAGGGAAGAATGGCGTCGCCGTTGCTGGTGGTCATCCTTGGCAGACCCCCACATGAGCAATCCCCCACCGTCATCGTGGGCCGCAAACACCCCGGCCATCGATCCGTCGCCGGCGTCAGCGTCGGCGTCGTCGACATCGTCAACATCACTGCCAACATGGCCACCATCATTGTCACCATCACCATCACCATCCCCATCCTCAACATCGTGGCTGTCACTGTCCTCACCCCGGGCATCCCCCTCGAAATCAAGATATTCGTCATCATCGCCGCCGTCGAAGCTGGCGTGCTGCTTGGTGCGCCGTTTCGTGGCAGTGGTGTGACGACGAGCGTCAGGGCCTTTGTTCTCACCGCTCTCTCCAGCAGCAACCGCACCGAGTGTCCTCCCGCCACCACCACCACCACTGCTGAAGTTGGACATGGTGGAGGCGCGGCCGTCATGCCAGTGCGTGTCATGTGTGGGTCGCACGGCGCTGGTGCTTGTGACTGAAGCCTTTGAGGCCTGCTGTTGGCGTTGGTGTTGTTGTGGCGGCTGTGGTGGCGGCACGTTCAACTTCGTCACCACGGTCGGGCGGCGTCCCCGTCTGCCCTGCACAGAGGCCGTCTTGCTACTCACAGACCCACTGCGCCCCTCCGTAGCCGCTGCCGCCAGCCACGACGGCTGCTGGTGCTGCTGTGAGCGGTGTGTAGGCGCGATGAATGGAGATGATGCACCAACAGCGTGTGCAGCACGCGACAGGGGGGCACTGCTGTTCCTGCTGCTGCCTTCCGCATCTTCGTCATCGTGCTCCGAGATGGTATCGTGCGTTGCAACCCACGTCTGCCCGCGCGTGCCCTAGTGATGGTGGAGGTGGTGATGGAAGGTGAGTGAGTGAGTGAGAGAGAGAGAGTGTGTGTGTGTGTGAGTGAGTGTGTGAGCGAGTGCGTGAGTGAGTGAGTGAGTGCGTGCGTGCGTGCGTGCGTGAGAGAGAGAGAGAGTGTGTGTGTGTGCGTGAGAGAGAGAGAGAGAGAGAGAGAGAGAGTGTGTGTGTGTGTGTGAGTCAGTGAGTGAGTTCCTTACGGTTGTGCGGCGTCGACTGGACGAGCGCCGGATGCGCTGGCGAAGTTCATGCAATCGCTGCAGCAGTAGCGGCACATTTGGCACGGCAACGGCGGGTGAGAATGAGAGAGCATGAGGGAGAATGAGAGAGAATGAGAGAACGCGAATGGCAGCCGGAGCGGACCGTGTTGATGGGAAACGGCAGCGCGCGACAAGCGTAAAATCCATCATCACAACAGCCGCGTACACACACACACACACACACACACACACACACACACACCACAACACAATCTAATACAACCAAACACAACACAATACAACACACCACACCACAACACAATACAAAGCAGACCAACCTCGACGGCGGTGCGCTCGAGCTCGCGGCGCATGTGCGGAAACGCCTCGAGGACCTCATCCAGGGCGCGGCGGCTGAGGACATACAGGCGGCACGGCGACACCGCAATCACGCTCGCCGCACGCTTCTGCAGCCGCAGCAGACCAAGCTCTAAAAGGGAGGGGGGTGAACGGGGGAGTGAGGAGGGGTTACATATGGTGGAACGCAGGAGGAAAGGAGGGGAAGCGTGGTGCATGTGTGTGCGTGAGTTGGTTGTGCCGACGTGAGATGGCGTTCGCAGAACAAGAGCACATTTATCGTGTTGCGAGAGCAGAAAATGGTGCAACTGCACACACACACACTCTCTCTCTCTCTCTCACACACACACGTGTCACCTCCAAAGAATGAGCCGTCGTGCAGGCGGGAGACAACATCGCCACCGGGAAGAACAACTTCAACCGTTCCATATTGCAGAAGGTACAGCTCGGACCCATACGTGCCAGCCCTGATGGTGGTGTTGGTGGTGATGATGCGAGGCGTGTGAAATGAAGGGCGCGTGTTGGCGTACAATGTGTGTGGCGCTGGTGTGTGGTGTTGGTGGCGACACATGTGCATGATGACGTACTTGATGATGACTTCGCTGGGCATGCTGACTTGGAACACCACCTGCACGTTGGAGGTACATGCAGACCATGAACAGAACAGCCCATGTCAGTGGCACTGGGAGAACGGGGGCGATGGGCAACGCGAAACACTTGCACGCATACACAGTCACACACAGACACACAGACACACACGGTCACACAAACACACACACAGACACACACGGTCACAGACACACACACACGGTCACACACACAGACACACGCACAGACACACACACAAAGCGTGCCTTTGTCGTGACTGCTTCGATAAGCTCTGGATCCGCATTGCGCAAGAATGGAAGTGACTGCACCAGGGGCTGGCAGTTGTGTTTCGTAATGTCCTGTGCATGTGTGTGCATGGAGGGCCATGGTGCGTGTTTGTGTGTGAGAGACAGAACGCGAGCGCACATGCGTGGCCAGGAACAGTGGACGCATGCTAGCGTGCACGTTTGCAACTACAAGGCAACACGGTCACGTGAATAACATGCACATCAGTAGTGTGCGAGTGTGGCTGTGAGCTCACGTTGTGAAGGCCGGGTGACAGCTCCTTGAGAATGTTTCGTTCGTCAAAGAACTTGTGTTGTGGCCACCTGAAATGGGGGAAGAGATGCGAGCGGCGCTGTGAGCAGACAGAGTGGCGTGCGTGCATGTGTGCGTGTGTGTGCGTATGTGTGCGTGGTTCGTTGGTGCTTCGCGTTGGAAGACACGATCCACGTGCATGTGAACAGCACGCTACGGCACCGTGCGCGTGAACACGAAACAGCACCTGTATTCGTAGTAGTCAAAGACGCGCTGGCGCAGGCTCGAGGGCACTTTCTGCGCCCGCAAATACTCAACAACCTCTTTCACCTGACAAGAGCGAGGAAGAGAGGGACGTCGAGGGGTTGGCACGAGAGCAAAACGACAACAAAGCATGGAGAGTACCCAAGCAAGAACAGGAGATACGCAGACACAGAAACATGCACACGCACACACACACACACACAGAGAAACACACGCACATGCACAGAAACACACACACACACATGCACAGAAACACACGCACATGCACAGAAAAACACATACGTACACACATTCCCACACCCACACATATAAACAAATACTCCCCCACCCCCCTTTCCCTTCCCCAAAGACGAACCTTTTCGTTGTAGTTTCTGCTAGCGCTGTCGACGCTGAGGGTGATGCTTGAGATCTGGCCGATGAAGACGGCGTAGAACGATGCGCCAATGACCATGCTGCCGATGGTGAGCCACACCTCCGACACGGACTGCGGCGGGAACTTGCCGTACCCGATGCACAGCATGTGGCTGAGGGCGTTGAAGAGCGCCCACGTGTACTGCGCGGAGACGGGCGCGTCCACCAGCCCGTTGATGGCGACCCACGACGATGGCGGGAAGTCGGCCAGCTGCACAGCGAGGAACTGCAGACAGCCGGACCAGTGGGCCATGAGTAGCATCATGGTGACCAGCTTCGACATGCGCAGCCACGCCGCGCTGAGGTTGAAGGTCTCCTCCCAGCGGCTGAAGAGGCGGAACATGCGGGTGACGCGCAGCAGCCGCAGCAGCGTGAGGAGGCGTGTCATGCGGAGGACCTTCAAGGCACGCGAGGCCTTGAGGTAGGACGGCGAGTCGTAGCGGTAATTGGCGGCGGCGGTGATGATGTAATCAAGCGGGAGGCTGGAGATGAGGTCGATTGCAAACCATCCGCGCAGGTAGTGCCTCACAATGGCGCGGTGGTCTGTGCGAGGGAATGGGGTGGATATGCGGAGGAGAAAAAGGTGCATGTGTGCGTATATGTGTGTGAGTGTGTGTCAGTGTGAGTGTGAGTGTGTGTGTGAGTGTGAGTGTGAGTGTGTGTGTGTGAGTTTCGTTTGATGGGTGCAAGTAGAGACAGGAAACGGAAAAGCAAAGGTTGGAGCAAACGGACACAACGTGCGCGAATGTACATTGCACGGACAGACAGACAGACAGACAGACAGACAGACAGACAGACAGACAGACAGGCAGGCAGACAAACAGACACACACACATACACACACACATGCACACACACACGTACATGCACAGACACACAGACACACCGAGAATGACTTCGTGAGGGGCGTCTTGTTTTGCAATGCCCGTGCGGAAGTTGACAAAGATGTCGAGGATGAAGATGGAATCGACAATGCAGCTGACGACGAACCACGCCGTACCCATGCCGTCACTGAAGAATGAAATGGCCACAGGAATCGACGTCACCGTGAAGGAGAGCAGCAACACCTGTTGCATGCGATGGCGGCGGTGGTGATGAGTGACGAGTGCGGCCATGTTGGCTCCTTTAATTTGTGGTTCCTTCGCCACCTTTTTACAAGAAAGCACACACACACACACAGACACAGACACACACACGCACATAAACGCACACACACGTAAACTCGCGCTCGTGCACACACACACACACACACACACACACACACACGTAAACTCGCGCTCGTGCACACACACACACACAAACACGCAACTCACCATGAGGACATCCCAGTACCAGCGAAATGTGCTGTAAGGGTGGATGACAAACTTGGGCAACTTTTGCTGCCGCGCAATCTCGCACGTCACGCCCTGCGCACTGCCATACATCTTGAGGGCAAACAGGTTTGTGGACGACACCTGGAAGATGGAGCCACGCACTTTCTCATCATCATCCTGCTACGTGTGCGGGTTGTTGTTGTTGTGAGAGTGGGGGGGGGGTAAGTTCGGGTGAGGGGAGAAGAAAGGGTGCTTCACGCAAGATGCAAGGGGGTCGAGCGAACGACCCACGAACACCCCTTGCACCGAATAAGGTGTTCGAAAGCAAACCAAACGAACACTCGCTCATACATATGCACACACACACACACACACACGCTCCTACGCACACACGCACACACAACACACACACACACCCTCACACGCGCTCCTACACGCACATACCGCGAGCACACACATGACAGCACAAGCACGTGACGTACAGGGCCGAGCTGGCTTGAGCGCTGGCTCTGCGTGCCGGCCGGTGGCGGTTGCTTGCCAGCTGGGATGCTGTCTGCCCTCTGTGGTGGCTGGGATGCTTGCTTGGTCGGCACTGATGGGGGTGGTGGAGGGGGTTCTGTGGGATGCACGCGAATATCGCCCACAGGGCGGATCCACGGCGCGCAACAACAGTCGCACCATACCTCCGGCTCCTCCATGGTTGGCGGTGCTCCGTTGTTGTCAACGCAGCCTGATGCGGTACAGCCAGGTGCATGGCCGTTGCGTCTCAGCCCAGGCGGGGGCATCTGATGTGGGGATCGAGGTGATGGAGGGCGAAGCAGCCCACCATTCGCGCTGCTGTGGTTGTTGTTGTTGTTGTTGTTGTTGTTGTTGTTGTTGTTGTTGTTGTTGTTGTTGTTGTCATGTAGACGTGTCGTTGGGGATGTCTGCCGCTTTGGTGCCGCTGACACGGGCCGCCGGGCCAATGTTTTGGTGGATGCATGTGTGGGCGTTGCAGAGGATGGGGGTTCCGTTGCCAGCTTCCCTTCAGAGAAGCTTGGTGAGCTGCCGACTCTCACCACCACGCTTGAACCAGCCTCTGAGCTGGCTGTTGAGCTGAGCGCTGCTGCGACATGGCCATCCATTGTCGCATGTAGCGGCTGTGCTCTGCCGTGCGGCGCTCTGCTGTCACCAGTTGGACAACGGGTGCTTGGTTCAGGCAAAGTAGACGCGTTGCTTGCTTGGCGTCACTGCTCACTGCGTCAAGTGCGTGCGTTGGTTGATTCCAAGGGAAACCAGCGCCCATCGTGTTGTTGGAAACGGCATGCTTGACTGCACTGTGTGCATGACTATCTCCCCAAGTGCTTGGTGTGGAATAGACTCGTTGTGTGCTGTGTGACATGAGATGAGACGCTCGACAACAAGCAAGATCGCAGTGCGGATCCACTGCAGCAGAAGAAGAAGAGTTTGAAACGGTGGCGGCAAAGTTACTATATTTTTGTATGTCGAGTGTCGTACAAACTCAACACGGTTGAAAACAGCGCGAATTATCGATAGAACTGATGTCAGTCTCCATTGATTCGGTGGTTTTTTTGCTGACTGAGATTTTTGCGTTCTTGCGCAATCAACGCTCTGCTGCTGCACGTCTGCAATCAGCGCTGTCCTTCCTTTGAGCTTGCGAAACCACACAAGCAAGCAAAGCTATTCGTTCTTGAAGAAGAAGAAGAACTGAGACAAACACAGAACAAACACACTGCGACTTGCTGCACTGCTGTTGGTGAGGTGTCGATGCGTGTGCTCGTGTGCTTGCGACCCACCTTGCTTCTAACCGGCTTGCTTGCTTGCTTGTCTGCTTCACGACCTTCCTGCTCTCGCCGCCAAAACACACACGTGTGCACTGGTGTGTGTGTGGCTCACTTTTGACCGGTGCTGCAACACCTCTGCTGCTGTTGGGCATAATTTGTTCGTTCGTTTGTTCACATCTTCGCAGGCGAAGGAAAGCAGCGACAAACAACGCCAGAGCTAGATCGTCACAGACAAGCCCAAAGGGAAGGATGCAGGCTGCCGTGCTTAGGCGGCAGGCCAGCCACGCTCGTCGATGGCTTGTGCCCATGATTGCTCAAACAAGGCACCTCCGAGTCCCAGGTGTCATGCTTTTCTGTGCGTGTGTGTGTGCGTGAGTGAGTGTGCGTGCGTGTGTGTGTGTGTGTGTGTGCGTGCGTGTGTGTGTGTGTGTTTGTGTGTGTGTGTGTGTGTGTCCGAGTGAGTGAGCGTGTTTGTGTCTGTGTGTGTGTGTCTGTGTGTCTGTGTGCGTGTGTGTGTGTGTTTGTGTCTGTGTGCGTGTGTGTGTGTGTTTGTGTCCTCCCCCTTTGTCATTCGTCCACATAAGCAAACACACAAGCAAACACTCACACAAACACACACACACTCTCACATATGCGCACATCAATGTACGCACGTTTTGCAGACTGGGTGGAGCCTTGCGACAAGTTCTTGTTCCGCCACATCGGGCCAGACCCCGCCGAGATCCAAACCATGCTCCGCACATGCTCCTTCGAGGTGTCGTGATTGCGGCTCTTTTCTTTTTGCTTTGTTTGTGCAATGCTTTGTTGGCACCAGTCGACGTCTGTCTCATCGCTTCACCGATGGGGTTGTGTGATGTGATGGTGTTGCTAGGATCTGGACGACATGATTGCCAAGGCCGTGCCCGAGGACATTCGCCTCCGCCGCACGCCACACCTTGACGAACCTCTGAGTGAGTTGTTTGGATGCTCTTGACAGTGAACGGGATCACGGCAAACGTTCAGTTGCAGACGTGCACACTCTACACGGCACGCGACACATGCACACTCACGCACACACCCAGAGACTCGCGCGCGCACACACACACATGTACTCACACACACACACACACACACTCTCTCTCTCACACACACACACACACTCACACACTTACACACACACACACGCACGCACACAGCGGAGAGCGAGGTGCTTGAGCGGCTGAAGCAGCTTGGGTCCCGCAACCAGGTGTTCCGCTCGTACATTGGCATGGGCTACTACGGCACCCTCACCCCGACAGCCATCAAGCGCAACGTGCTGGAGAACCCCGGCTGGTACACCCCATACACGCCGTACCAGGCGGAGATTGCACAGGGCCGCATGGAGAGCCTCCTCAACTTCCAGACCATGATCCAGGTCTGCTATCATCCTCGCTTTGTGGCGTGGCGTGCTGTCAAGTGTTGTGTTGTGTTCGGGTGGCGTTATGTTGTTGGGGCTTCGTGTTATGTTGTTGTGCTGTCATTTCGTGTGATCGTGCGTGCCTTGTGCCCTTTCGTTCGTGCGACTGTCCATACATGATTGTCCTTCCTCCACCCCCTTGTCCTCCTCCCACATACCTCAATGTGTCTTTGCGCTGTGTCACATTTTCTGCACGACCACCCTCACCTCATACAACCACCCCTCACCACCCCACCTGTACCTGTTGTTCGTCCGTGTGCAGGACCTGACAAGCCTTCCCATCGCCAACGCCTCTCTTCTCGACGAAGCAACTGCCGGCGCTGAAGCCCTCTCCATGTGCTTCTCCGCACACAACCAGTGCGTGTTGGCGGTTATTGCCATGTATTTCATGCCGTGTGGTTCACCTGATGCGTCGTTGTACGCCCGCCTGCATCCAACATGCGAGCAGGGTTTGTCGTTCAGAGCCGCCACGATTCTGCGTTGCGCATGCTCACCCCACATGTGTGTGCACGCATGACATGCCACAATGCCACGCTGCCACGCTGCGTCGCGCGTCATTGCAGCAAACGCAAGATGTTTCTGCTGGACAGCCGCTGCCATCCGCAGACGGAGGCCCTCGTCTACACCCGCGCAAAGTCAGTCACCTCACACACGCGCGCGCGCGCGTGTGTGTGTGCATGCGTGATATGTGTATGTGTGTATGTGTGCATGATATGGGTGTGTATGTGTGTGTGTGTGTGTATTGAATAGCATGACGTCTTGAGACACATTTAATCAAGTCATCCATTGTCACTCCCCACGTGGCTTCATCTTCCCAAACGAACCAGCCGATTCCACATGCCACCCCAACTCAACCCACACGCTTGTTGCTTGACTGCTCTGCAGGTACATTGGCGCGAAGGTGATCAAGCAATCGTGGGAGAACTTTGAGTTTACCTCCGACGTGTGCGGATGCCTCGTTCAGTACCCAGACACGCACGGTGAAATCCACAACATTGACGAGCTCGTTGCAAAAGCCCACGATGCTGGCGTGAGTCACCCTGCGCTCGCCTATGTGTGCATGCGCACATGGATTTATCTGCCAGTATCGTTCAAGGACCATCAAACACACCCAGCACACCCAACACAAGCGCCAACACTTTTTCCGACCTCACTCTTTGTTTTCAACCACACTTGTGCGTTCGCACGTCTGTTCTTATCTATTTCCCCCCTCTGACACACGCACACACACACTCTCTCTATCTCTGTCATACACACACTCACTCGCACACACACACTCGCACACATACATACACACACACGCACGCTGACTTCAAAACTGCCCCCCTCCTGTTGTCCACAGGCGCTGGTGGCGTGTGCCACGGATCTGCTTGCGCTGACGGTCATGCGGTCGCCCGGCGAATTCGGTGCCGATATCGCCGTCGGCAGCGCGCAGCGGTTTGGCGTGCCCCTCGGTCAGTCGTCTGTACCACCATGGTGGTGGTGGTGGTGGTGTGTGTGTGTGTGTGTGTGTGTGTGTGTGCCCAGCTTTGTGGACGTGTGCTCTCTCTCTCTCTCTGTGCCCAGCTTTGTGGACGTGTGCTCTGTGGGTGTCGTGTTGTGTCGCCACCAACCACACATGTCACGGCCTCACCCATGCGTGTGATGTGTCCTCCGTGTGCCCTGCAGGCTACGGTGGTCCGCACGCCGCGTTCATGTCGTGCACGGAGAAGCTCATTCGCCGCCTACCGGGCCGTCTGATCGGCGTTACCAGGGTGAGGCATCGCATGTCACGTCTTATACGTGTGCATGTTATGTGCATGTGTGCGTGCGTGCGTGTGTGTGCGTGCGTGTGTGTGTGCGCATATGTGAGCTTGAGGAGACCCCTTATCAGCGGCTGCTGCTTCATGCCTGGCTTCCAAATAGAAACTCACACACAAACACACATACAAACACACATTCACACGCCACATACCTGTTCGTTTGGTGTTATTAGGACACGCACGGCAACCGCGCGTACCGTTTGTCGCTGCAGACGCGCGAGAACCACATCCGTCGTGAGCGCGCCACCTCCAACATTTGCACCGCCCAGGCCCTCCTCGCTAACATGGCCGTACGCTTGCACACACACACAAACACACAAACACACACACACACACACACACACACACACACACCACACACACAACACATACAAGCATGTGCCTGGATGCTGTGCTTGCTTTCAGCACGTTTGTGATGCTCAATGAGCCAACACAATTCACTCACCGCCTCGCACATTGACATGCTTTGCCGTCGGTGGTGGTGGTGGTGGTGGTGGTGGTGGTGTGTGTGTGTGTGTGTGTGTACGTGAAATCAGGCCATGTACGCTGTGTTCCACGGCCCGCAGGGACTGAAGAACATTGCAAACCGCGTCCACTACATGACATCCGCCCTCGCAGATTGTACGGTGTTTCCCCCTCCCCATCGGCTGTCTTGACTCCTGTGGGGTTTTGGAATGATACAGCGCATTTTCACATGCACGCTGAACTCACCATGAACACACACACACACACACGCACACACATATACACACATACATACATACACACACACACGATGCAGCGATTGCGGACTGCGGGCATGCTGTGAACAACGACTACTTCTTCGACACCATCAAAGTCACGCCCGTTGGCCTCACCCAGGACCACATCATGAGCAGGGTGTGTGCAGGCAGAACAAGGAGAAAGTGAAAGAGGAGAGAACAGTGGCGGTGGTGCCAACAAGGCCCGTGCACCTGTTTTTGTTCGTGCATTCGCACTCACGCAATCGCTCGCACCCTCTCACTCACATGCACACACACATGCACGCTGCTCATACACACGCACATGCACGCTGCTCATGTCCCACGCATGAACAGGCGCACAACCTTGGGATCAACCTGCGCCAGTATGACGACGGCGATGTCGGCATCAGCCTTGACGAGACCGTCACCACCAGCGATTTGCGTGATGTCATGTCCATCTTCACCGAGTCCGGCATCATGGTACGCACGCGCGCGCTCACACGGCCTGTTTGTGTGTGGTTGTGGCTGTTGATATTGTGTGTGTGTGTGTATACTGTCAGCTGCAACCTTTTCCCCAGGCCCACCCTCACGCTGATGCCACACACACACACACACACACACACACACACACACACACACACACACACACACACACACACACACACACACACACACACGCGCGCGCGCGCGCGCGCGCGCTCACTCTCACGCTGCCTCTCTCTCTCTCGCTCTGTGTGTACACAGGAGGACGAGGATGCAAATGCACGGCTGTCCAATCTGCCACGTCGCCGTCTTGGAGAACTGGAACGCACGTCCTCCTTCCTCACCCACCCGATCTTCAACAAGTACCACAGCGAGACGGAGCTCATGCGCTACTGCAAGCACCTCGAGGTAACGCAACAGCTGCTGCCGTGTTTCATTCGTGGTGACCGTGGAGATGGAGGTGACTGCAGTGTTTTTGCCCGTATGTTTGGTATGCGTGCTTTTGTTTGCCCAAGATGCTTCGTTTCACTTGCGTCACAACCGCACTCGCTTGATCGACGTTGCTACCATGGTGAGTCTGCAACCTCACACGCCCTCCACATGTTTCCCCTTTACTCTGCGCCCTCAAACGCAATAGAACAAGGACATCTCGTTGGTGCACTCCATGATTCCGCTTGGGTCGTGCACGATGAAGCTCAACGCCGCCACAGAGATGCAGCCTGTGACCTGGCCCGAGTTTGCAAACATCCATCCGTTTGCGCCCCCGAGCCAGGCGCAGGGGTTCATTGAGCTCTTTGAGGAACTCGCAAGGTGCGCGCGCGCGTGTCTGTTTGTGTCCGTGTCTGTGTGTGTGTGTCGATCTGTCCGTCTGTCTGTCTGTCTGTCTGTCTGTCTGTTTCCTTGCGTGCTTGCTTACGTGCGTGCATGTGTGCGCGCCGTTGTTTTTCTTGCGTATATACTTGCCTGTATGTGTGACGCTGCGTGGTGTGTTGTCGCCGACCTGGTTGCATCATGCCAACTCACCTCGACCACCCATCTCTGTGTTTGCGTGTGCCCCCATGCAGGGACCTGTGTGCAGTTACCGGCTACGATGCTGTCTCGCTGCAGCCCAACAGCGGTGCACAGGGCGAGATTGCCGGCATGCTCGCTATTCGCGGCTACCTTGAGAGCAAGTGCGTCCTCTTCATTCACCCCTCCTGTTTCGTCTCCCCTTCCCCTTCCGCCCCTCGTCTGTCGTTGACGTCTTGAGGCTCATGCATTCATGGCGGCTTCCTTAAACCCGAGCACGTGCTGTTCCCTTCGTATTGTAATCGTGATCGCCAGCATGCGCGGGCCAACTCACCACCACCACCACCCACCGCCGCCACTCACCCGTGTACATGTGCGTGTGAATGTGTGCATGATAGGGGCGAGGGCCACCGTGACGTGTGCTTGATTCCAGAGTCTGCTCACGGCACCAACCCCGCAACCGCCACCATGTGCGGTATGTACAGTCGTCCCACACGCTGGCGTGGTCGCTGGCATACATACCCGTTTGTCTCTGTTCGGTTAACTTGCGTTGCTTTGTTTGATTTGTGTTGTGATTTCCCATTTCGTGCGTTTGCTTGTTCCCTCTTTCTCCACTCCCATCTTCCATTATGCACAGCACTCACCAAAAATGCTCTTTCCGCTGTCACGGTTTTCTGTTTGGATGTGTATGCACTGCCAGGCATGCGCGTGGCCAAGGTGCGGGTGACCAAGCAGGGTGACATTGACATGGATCACCTGCGCGAGCAGTGCGAGAAACACAAGAACAACCTCGCAGCCATCATGGTGTGTGTGTGTGTGTGTGTGTGTGTGTGTGTGTGTGTGTGTGTGTGTGTGTGTGGTGTGTGTGTGTGGTGTGTGTGTGTGTGTGTGTGTGTGTGTGTGTGTGTGTTACACATGTGTGTGTTTTGTTGTGACTGCGCTTGTTTGCCACCCACGCCTTTTTTTCATCGCGCAGCTGACCCACTCCTGTGCTCAACACCATGTCAATTGCCTGCATGCATTTGTAGATCACGTACCCGAGCACATATGGCGTTTTTGACGAGTCTGTGCGCGAGATTTGCGAGACGGTGCACGGTTACGGCGCACAGGTGTATCTCGATGGCGCGAACATGAACGCGCAGATGATGCTGTGCCGCCCTGGTGACTACGGCTCAGACGTGTCCCACCTCAACCTCCACAAGACCTTCTGCATCCCCCACGGCGGTGGCGGTCCCGGCATGGGCCCAATTGGCGTCAAGGTGTGAGGGCACGTGCACGCACGCGTGTGTTTCATGTGTGCGTGTTTCATGTGTGTGTGCGTGTTTCATGTAAGCGTGTTTGCTTGCTCACTCTGTCCGTCCGCCTTCGTGCGTCTGTTTGTCGCTCTCTGACTATGGTGTTTCACATGTTCTCTGTCGTGCATGCTCACATGCCTGCCTTCCTGGTCCATTGCTACCAATATGGCAGTCCCACCTCGCTCCTTTCCTCCCTGGCCACGTCATGACAGCTGAAGGTACGCTTTGCACGTGTGTGCCTGTTGCTGCCCTTCGCGTGATGATTTGTGCATCTGCGCACCTTAATCTTGTTCTTTTTCTTGTTGTTCTCGTTGACCGCCTTGTGCTTGTCCTTTGTGTGCCTTGCTGCTTCTTCGAGTCACCATCAATTCCAACTGTGCCCCGTTTGAATGTGTTCTCACACAACAACAACTTCTCACAACAACAGGACACAAGTTCCGCCAGGTGTCAGCCAGTCCTTACGGCTCCAGTCTCATCATGCCCATTTCCTGGTGCGTGCATGTGTTCCTTTGAGCATGTTTGTTGCGTGTGACCACTGCATATGCTGTCTGTCTGTCTGCCTGCCTGCCTGTTTGTCTGGCTGGCTGTCCGTCTGTCCGTGTGTTACTCCCTCACACACACACACACACGCGCGCGCAAAAACACACACGCAAACACACACACACACGCGCGCGCGCGCGCAAACACACACACACATTGCAAACACATGCACACACCCACATACACATGATGTGTGATCCTCTTCACGGGCCAGGTCCTACATCCGGATGATGGGTGCTGAGGGTCTTCGCATGAGCAGCGCCGTTGCCATTCTCAATGCAAACTACATGGCCCACCGCCTCAAGGACTACTATGAAGTCGCCTTCAGGTGCTGCTCTATTGCGTGCGTGCATGCACGGGTTGGCGTGAAACTTGTCACGCGAATATGTGTTTGTGTGCTTATCACGTGAGTATTTGCATGTGTTCGTGTGCATTCATGTTTTGCTGTCTCTTGTGCGTGTTGCTCACCACCCATTCCCATTACCTCTTCCCCCTCGGTGTCTGCCAACAGGGGCAAGCGCGGCTGCGTTGCACACGAATTCATCGTCAGTTTCGCCCCGTTCAAGAAGTACGGCATCACCTGCACCGACGTCGCAAAGCGCCTTCAGGTCTGTTCATGCTTGCTTGGTTGTTGCTTCTTGCTTGGCTGCTCGTCGGCTCGTTCGTGTGTCTGATTCTTTGGGTATTGTCTGCTTGCGTACTTGGTCAACACGAGCGTGGCTGCGTATGCGTGTATCAATCAATCTGTTTCATTCAAAGCCTTCAAATCGCCCTCTCAACAACAATTCACCACACACACACACACACACACACACACACACACACACACACACACACACACACACACACACACACACACACACACTCGCGTGTCTTGCATGCATCAGGACTATGGCTTCCACAGCCCAACGGTGTCGTGGCCGGTGCCGGATTCCCTCATGATTGAGCCGACGGAGAGCGAGAGCAAGGACGAGCTCGACCGCTACGTCGATGCTCTCATTCAGTGAGTTCTCATGGCCAGCATCATCACCATTCATACATGTGCCTTGAGTGTGCCATTGCGTTGATGCGTTGATATCGTGCCACCTTTGCTTGTTGTTGTTTACAGTCACGTGCACATGGTGCCCCTTTGCGTTGTTGCTTTGAACACCACTTCATGTTTCACGCTCGAACTTGCCCCCTGAACACCATCCACCACCAATCACCACCACCCGTCACCTGTGCACTCCAGAATCCGCCACGAGATCCAGGAGGTGATGGACGGGAAGTACCCGCAGGACGACAACGTCATTGTCAACGCGCCACACCCGCAAACGGTACGCACATGTGCATGATGCTGGTGTTTGCCTCCAGCTCACTTTGGTGTGACGTTGACACCCGGATCTCACGTTGGCATCGGCATGTGTCTGTGTGCAGTTTGTGCTGGCTGAAGAGTGGACGCGGCCGTACTCGCGGGAGAAGGCCGCGTACCCCGTGGCGTTCCTGAAGGAAGGCAAGACGTGGCCGGGCTGCGGCCGTGTTGACGACGCGTTTGGTACGTTGGAGAGGGGGGGGGATGGAGGGGAAGTGACGGTGACAAGAGACAGACAGAGGAGGGGTGACGGGCAAGAGGCAGAGGCAGAGGCAGAGGCACACACACAGAGATGTCAACACATGCACACGCATGCTACACATGCGCACACACATACGTGCACACACATACATGCACACATGCACGTATGTACACAGACACGTGAAGACACACACAAATGCGCACATACATTCATGCACACAAACACTCGTCCTTACCCTGGAATGATTTGCCTCCCCTGTCCGCCCCCCCCCCCCCATTTTTTTCTTGCAGGCGACAAGAACCTCATGTGCTCGTGCCCTCCGATGGATTCGTACGACGCGTAGCAGCCCAACACACGCGCCCATGTGTGTGTTTGTGCAGTGTGTAGTTTGTCCTGACTCGTGTGTGTAGGTCTGCATTGCCGGCATTACCTCATGCATCACAAGCTTGACCACACCTGCACACATCCACGCTGTTGATTCAAGATTCGTTTCCTCTCCCCCTCCCTTCTCTCTGGTGTTGTTCGCTTTCTTCCCCTCTTTTTCCCCCTCGTCTGCTTTCTGCAACTCGGCAGCGACTGCTTGTGTGTTTTCTTGGTCCTGACTGGTTTCTTGTGCAGTGTTATTGTGCTGTTTCCACATTCCGTTCTCGCTCGAATCAACAGGCCAACAGCACTTGTAGTCACACATGAGGATAGTGTGTTTCGTAACGCGAGGGATAGTAGGGAACGCGCGGAAAGGGAGGTGTAACGGTTGTCGAATAAATGTGGCTGCTTGGCATTGCGTGGGTGCGACACACACACACACACACACACACACACACACACACACACACACACACACACACACACACACACACACACACACACACACACACACACACCTGCACAGAAAAATGTACGCACGCAATCAACACCAGCGGTCATGCCGGCCGACCTACTGCGTCCCCAAGCGAGAAGAGCAGTTGCGAGAAGTAATTTCCCGCGTTCGTGACAGACGGCCTCATAATGGCCCTGATGCCATCATGCAAAGCTGCGGATGACAACGGCGATGATGATGACGCTGGTGATGGTTGGTGGTTTGCCGAGCCCGCCCTGTCAGGTGACGGCGATGACGAGAGCGCGGCGTGCTGCCTCCGCCGTCGCATCCAGCCGCCAGGATGGCTGAACTGCTTCGTGGTGTCGTACACGGCCTGCACCAGCGTGCGCATGAGGGGCACCTGTTCGAGTGCAGTCGTGATTGCGTCGCGGTACTGCGATCGGTGCGCGTGTGCGTGAAGAAGCACGCGCGCCTCTGTGCTGTTGCCGTTGACACTCCAGAGCGCAATGGCGTGGTTGATGCTTGCAAGCTCGTCAAACTGGGCGTGTTCCCCCAATTGCGCAATCACAGCCAGCGCCTCCCTGTCTGCGCCCAGCACGGCCAGTGCCTGGAAGGCAAGGGCGGTTGGCTGGAGACACGTGGTGCGGTGTATCAGCACTTGCAGCACAGCATCCTTGACGGGCTTTCGATGAAGGCGACAGCGGCGCGCGAGGTACGCGTGCATGCGATTGAGGCTGCGAGGACAAGTGGTGAAACAAAGCAGCAGCAGCAAGCAAGCAAGCAAGCAAGCAAGCAAGCAAGCAAGCAAGCAAGCAAGCAAGCAAGCAAGGCAGTTCATAAGGGGCTGAACGTGACGGTGAACAGCTATTTGCATGCGCGAACAGCCATTGCATCCGGCCGTCACAGCCTGGAGTACACACACACACACATACACACACACACACACACAGACACACACAGACACACACACACACACACAGACACGCACGCACGCACATACAGACACACACGCACATACAGACACACACACAGACACACACACACGCACACACACACACACACACACACACACACACAAGAGTACAAGACGTACAGCGGGAAGGAGGCGGTGTTGAGCTCGGCAAGCAAGGCGTCGAGATGCTCTGGAAGCTGCTGGTCAAGCAGTCCAATTGCACGCGACCACGTGGTAATGAGAACGTTGGCGTTGATGTCGACCACCGCCGTCTCCGTCGGCACGCGGTAATGTATGAGCGCGGGCGTGCATGCGTTCAGCGTCAGCGCGGCGCTCTCGTCGGAGAGGGCCTGAGCACCACACGTCACTCGTGCACACAGGTCCTGGATATAGACAACATGCTCCTCAATGGGGCTGCCAGGCGGCTCCGTCAGCAGCAGCAGCTCCAACTTGCGGTGGGATCGCATGTCCCTGCAGCACAACACGCAAGTGTGTGCATATGTGTGTGTGCATGTGTGTGTGTGTGTGCATATGTGTGTGTGTGTGTGTTAGCTGCGACAACACGCAGTCTGCCTCACTGCCTCCCCTCAAACCCCTAAAACGCTAACGCTTACATTGGCTCTGCTAACGCTTGAGCCAGCTGCAGCTCGCCTGCATGTGACCCTCGCTCCATTAACCTTGACCTGATGCCAAGAGCAGCAAACAAGCGTGTGTGCATGTGTGTCCACGTGCATGTGTGCATGTGCATGTGTGTGTGTGTGTGTGTGATTTGAGGTGCTCAACCGTCAGCGGCACAGCATGGAAGGACGGCGCCAAGTCACATCACGTCATGGTCAAACACACAAGTGCTCACACACACACACATATACACATGCACACACACATGCACACACACACACGCACACACGCACGTACACACAAAGCTCGCACGCACACGCACACATGGGGCACATCTGCATGTGACACAACGTACACGAGTGTGAAGGTGTCCATGTCCTGTCGTCTTCGCAGGTGATTCAGGAACTGTGTGATGGCCCACGGGTAGGACGCCATGAGCTTGACAAATGTGTTGGAGTTCAGGCTGGAGTAGAGCCACTTCACAATCTGCACGCAAATGGCAGGGTGCCGCAGCTTGCAGGCCTCCTCCAACATGGCGCGTTTCGCGTGCATGGATCGCGGCTGCATGGTGACGCGCGGCGGATCCGCAACGAGAATGGCTCGGACATGCTCCTTGCACGACGTCGCTTCGGCGTAAAACTCTGGCGGTAATGGCCGGGCCACTTCGACAAACCCTTCTCGCCCATCGTTCTCATCGTCATCATCATCATCATCATTGTCGTTGTCGTTGTTGTCCGTGTCCTGCTTTCGTTGCTCTCGCTGCAATCGACGATCAAACCTGCGCAGGCCATCCTCGATGTCTGCAAGCCCATCCAACTGCACGCGGTCTGGTCGCCGCACACGCGCGTAGACCTGGTGCTGCTTTGGTGTACCAAAGGCGTCCGCGTTCCCCAA